AAATGGGATCTTCACTAGCTAAGTATTGATGATTTGAATCTTCACTTGTAGTCTTTTCGACCTAACATAGTCTTTCGAGCCCAGTTTGTACTTAAGAAATCAAATTCATATTTGAACTTATTGATATTAATATTAAACATATCACTTACATTCTATCACATACACCACTTTTTATATACTCTATGTAACACATCGGATTGCAAATCTAATAGCTAGCACTATCAAGGCACCTTGACGATAGTTAGTCATTAATTACAACACGATATATAAGTTAAATATATAAAGTAAGAATTTTACTCGTGTAATGTGTATAGTATTACTTTTTTTTTTTTTTTTTCTAGTGTGTTGCACTGGTGTCTATAGCATGCGAGATACAATTAATTAAGTTGAACCTCAATTAGTCTCCGACCATTTGAGACAACTCTCTATTCCTCTTGAGACATTGTTGCATATGCATAATGTTAAGCATCTATCCAAACTCTTAAATGACTCAAATATCTTTTTACTTGACTATAGTATGTATTACTTCGGTAATAACAAAAACTACGCAAATATAGAAGGGACTAAAATAGATAAGTGAATCAAACTTTTGACCTAAGCTAGTACCTTACTTAATTCATGTGCTATTATTTTTAGCTCTTAGCTTGGTTACTTTTTTTTTCCTCCTCAATGTGATTTTGCCTAATTCAAGGCTATATTATTCAGCAATTGAAGAAATCAAATTGTTGTTCGCACAGATAGCTCAATTGTTACGTAGATAATAAATTGCAAATAAAGACGTAAGATCTAGACTTGACAGAGCTGCAGTGTAGGAGTTACATATAATGTGATGAGTTCATTATGAGTACCATGTAATGGTCCTCTCACTTAAGAGACCGTTGAGTCATTGTGATTTACCTTTTCAATGTATTGTGGGCTCTTAGGCCGAGAGATATCAACCAATCAAATACAAGAAATTTGGTAACGTAACATTATCGTAACTAGTTTAATTAATTTCATTCTGTTGATTTTCTGCTGCTTGTGCTGTGGATATATATACAACTGTCACATTTCTGGCCACATTGCCCCTTTTGGTTTTTCCATATGAATTAGGCAATGGCATTGCATAGGGTGCTAATAAGATGCTCAGTAGCCAAACCTCATCGATTTTCAATAATTTCATTTTGAAACGTAAACAACTACATATATAATCAAGACTGCAGGGAATGTTTGAGAAGAACAACGAGATTAATTTGAAAAGGTTAGTAAGCAAAAATGGCAAATTATTGGGTGGACCATGGTCCACATAATTGTATGGACCATGAATATCACGTACATTTTTAATATATTAAAAGTACATTATTTTTGTACTGAAAGTACATTATTTTAGTATTGAAGATACATTATATAAAATAATGTACCCTTAGTATATTAAAAATGAACTTTAAACAATGTACCTTACGTACATAAATAATGTAATCTTAGGGGGCGTTTGATTCACGGAATGTTATATTACCTCAGGGAATGTTAGATTGCTGGGAATGTTAGATTCCTGTGTTTGGTTAGATTGTTGGGAATGTTAGATTACTGAGAATGTTATATTCTTGTGTTTGGTTTAAAACTGCTGTATGTAATATAAATCTGTTTGGTTGAAGAGTTAATTTTTTTTTTGGTATGATGATAATTTTTACTTGAATACTTTTAACCTATTTTTATGTATTTTAATAAATTTAAAATTCAGATATCAAATAAATAAATAAGACAATGGTAAAATATAGAAGTAAATGATTTAAAATTAATTAACTAATTAAGAGTTTGAACAATAATTAACTAAAGCAATGTATTACAATTACAAAATTATCAATAACACAAGGGAATGTGAGATTACCTAAGAAAATGGAGGGTATCTCACATTCCCTTGGAATAGTTAAAAACCTTATGTGGAGGTTATCTTACATTCCCGGGGGAAAATTGCATAACGTACTTGAACCAAACATGGGAATGTTATTGATGGAGAAAATTGATCCTGGGTACGACCCATGGTATGTATTTATACGGATCAATAGTCTCCATAGAAAAATAGATGAATAATGTAAAGTGATGATTGCAGAGAATCAATAAATAAATAGGCAGGACACAAAGATATTTAACATGGAAACCAATATGGTGAAAACCACGAGCCTTTTTGGGCTAAGCCAAGCGAAATCCACTAAGTTGTAGGTGTAGTACATGTACATAGGTAAGGCCATGGCCATGAAATATATGGAAGAAGAAAGAATATGTATGTAGAAGAGAGGTTTTATATTTGAGACTGACGTCCCCCCTTCGTCTGTAGCCCAGAGCCTTTATATAATGTTATTTGTGCAATTGTAACTTCCCGTAGCCTTTCCTATTTTCTTGCCATGACTTCTTCCTCCTTTGACTAATATCATCATTATTATTATCATAAATAATAATAATAATAATAATAATAATAATAATAATAATAATAATAATAATAATAATAATAATAATAATAATATGGCATGCATATTATATTATTCCATCATGAGTTCCCCACTTTCTTAACTGCAAGTATTTGTCAGTATAAGAAAGTAGAAACTGATGTTCACCAAATAAAAACGATAACACTCGGAGTGCATCATTAACGAGTAGTCTAGTCGGACTACATGTTTGTGCGTGGAGCACCAAAGTTCTGACCTTCCATGCTCGGAGCATTGAAGATCATATTAGAGTCACAGTTAGGTACACGGGGCACCTAGGAGTTCATGACAGTCATTTCCTGTAATTGACATATATGACAAATGATCAGCGGGCATGCCCTTAATATCGGTTTAAATGTGAAATTAAAAATTGAAGATAGGTTCAAAAATATCTATCTTCCTTTAATTTATTGTGACCAACACCAAACTTATTCTTCGGGATTGTTGTTGTAAGAGGTAGCGCGGAGCTACCGTGAAATTTAAGAGGTAGTGCTGAGCTTACCGTAAAATTTCGGTGGTGGCAGCGCAGGGCTTGCCTCGCAATATAATTGGTAGCACAGAGTTTACCATATTACGTTATACAAGTGACAACAGCAGTTTTGGAATAAATTGGTAATTGGTCACATTAACAAGTTGAATAATAATAATAATAATAATAATAATAATAATAATAATAATAATAATAATAATAATAATAAATATTAATATAATATAATATAATATAATATAACAATAATAATAACAATAACAATAACAATAACAATAACAATAATAACAAATGCTTATCTTTGGCCAATTGACATTCTTCACGTGCTTGGCAGAGGTGAGGTATAGAGAGAAATGGGATCCACAAACTTCCAGTAACTACCCTCTTTCACGTATGCACAACACATGCATGGATTTCTAGTAGCCATTTACTGCATCTTTCCTGCTCTGTCGGCGGCTGTGGTTAAAATATGCAGTCGAATTTGATGATTATTGTCACTGCCATCAACCTCCAATAGCATTCATCAAAGCTGAAGTAAGATCAGGGGCCTTTTTGGAGGTGTGTTTCGTGATTTTGGTCCTCAGTTCAGAGCTCACTGTCTCTAATGTGGATGGGTGAGGGATCTCCTATGGGCCTCTAGATATATGGTCATTATAGTCATCAAACAAGATCATCTTCTACAACTGTCAAATGGACAGTCACCACCCTCTACGTGCACGTCCACCGGCAGTTCTACCGCAACCGCACCATTACCGGAACCATCAACTTCATCTTCGAGAATGCGGCCGCCATTTTCCAGAGGTGCAAGTTGATCATCGGGAAGCCGCTGATAACCAACGGCTCAGGCCAATCTTGCATGGAGACCGCACAGGGAAGAGCCCAAGTCGACGAATCTTCGGAATCGCAATCTTCAACCCCACATTTATTAGCGCTCATGGGGCTTGCATTGGATGTGGTGGAGTCGCAGTCTCTACGGATCGATGCACAAAAGGGTCGTTGCCATTGCAATCTTTCTAGAAGTAGAAACAATGAACAAGACAAAACCAAATCCAGGCCCTGATACGGCGATTCAATCTTTTTTTTTTTTTTTTCAAAAAGATGATTGCAAATAAAAGCTCTCTGAAATATGTAAAATGGCAAAGATAACTCGCGGAGCATCAATATCTCACACTCACTGCAGGAAAAGCCTTATGGAAATATGGGGATATATTTTGACAATGGGACGCTAGAGGAGGTGAATGGGGAGAGACCTCGTATGACAAATAAAGCAATGTGATCGTTAATTGCGATAGTTGTGATAAACTGAAAGTAGAGAGCACGCTTGAATGTGAACAACCACTCTCAACAAGAGCACCATTGATGAAGAAAATTGATCCAGGGTACGACTCAGGGTATGTATTTATACGGATCAATAATCTCCATATAAAAATATATGAATAATGTAAAGTGGTGATTGCAGAGAATCAATAAATAAATAGGCAGGACACAAAGATATTTAACGTGGAAACCAATACGGTGAAAACCACGAGCCTTTTTTGGCTAAACCAAGCCGAAATCCACTAAGTTGTAGGTGTAGTACATGTACATAGGTAAGGCCATGGCCATGAAATATATGGAAGAAGAAAGAATATGTATGTAGAAGAGAGGTTTTATGTTTGAGACTGGCGTCCCCCCTTCGTCTGTAGCCCGGAGCCTTTATATAATGTTATTTTTGCAGTTGTAACTTCCCGTAGCCTTTCCTATTTTCTTGCCATGACTTCTTCCTCCTTTGACTAATATCATCATTATTATTATCATTAATAATAATAATAATAATAATAATAATAATAATAATAATAATAATAATAATAATAATAATATGGCATGCATATTATATTATTCCATCATGAGCCAAGCCGGTGCAGCAGCGCAAGAGGTACCTCTCCGCAGAGAGAAGAGAGTTCGTGAGGAAGGAGGTCAATACCCACCTTGAGATAGGGCACGTTCGGGAGGTCCTGTACCCCAGATGGCTGGCCAACGTAGTCCTCGCCCCCAAACCCCGCACCTGGAGGATGTGCGTGGACTACACCGACCTCAACAAAGCCTGCCCCATGGACCCCTTTCCATTACCAAATATTGATCAGCTGGTGGACGAGACGGCAGGCTGCGCCCTCATGAGCTTCCTAGACGCCTTCCGGGGGTACCACCAAATCTTCATGCATGAGGACGAGGAGGAGAAGACGGACTTCACAACCCCCAAAAGGGTCTTCTGCTATAGAGTCATAGCCTTTGGGCTCAAAATCTCCGGGGCCACCTACACCCGGATGGTGGCCAAGGTCTTCAAGCAGGTCCTCGACCGCAACATGGAGCCTATGTGGACGACATGATAGTCAAGAGCGCAGAGGCCGATGCCTATGTCGGTGACGTAGACGAGGTATTTTCCATTATGCAGCGTTATGATTTAAGGTTGAATCCCAAGAAGTGCACTTTCGGGGTGCACGGGGGCAAGCTAAGTTTTTGGGCTACATGGTCTCAAAGAGGGGCATTGAGCCCAACCCCGACAAGGTCAGGGCCATCGTGGACATGGAGCCTCCGAGGTCCTTCCAGGAGGTCCAACGCCTAAACGGCAGGCTAGCGGCCCTCGGCCGGTTCCTCTCAAGGTCGGCCGAAAGGTTTCCTTGCCCTTCTTCGCGGTCCTCAAGAAGAGTACGGGGTTTGAGTGGTCCCTCGAGTGCCAGAAGGACTTCGACGACCTCAAGGCCAAGCTGATGTCGTTGCCCCCGCTCGCCAAACCCGTGAGAGGGGAGGCCTTGTACCTGTACTTGGGTCATATCACAAGCCGCGATCAGCTCCGTGCTGGTCCGGGATGACGCGGGCATACAACGCCTTGTCTACTATGCGAGTCGTGCCCTCCGTGGAGCCGAGCTCAGGTACTCTCCCATCGAGAAAGCCATATTCGCAGTGGATGTGACCGCAAAGAAACTCAATCACTATTTTCAGGCACACCCCATTCATGTCTTAATAAATCAGCCTCTGGAGTCGGTGTTAAGGTCCTCCAGGTCGGCCAGCAGGTTGGTAAGGTGGTCCATGCGCTTAAGCCAGTACAACATCCAGTTCAAGCCAAGACCTACTATAAAAGGGCAAGCACTTGCCGATTTCATAGTCGAGTGCACCGCTCGGGAGGCCACCGAGCAGGCCTGAAGCGAGGAGGAAGAGTGGTGGACCCTATCAACAGATGGGTCCTCGAGTGTCAAGGGATGCGGGGGCAAGGTCGTCCTCGTAACCCCCGAGGGTTTCAGGGCCTACTACGTGCTTCGCTTCCACTTCAAATTTTCAAACAACGAGGCCGAGTATGAGGCCCTTCTCGGGGGTCTCTGGCTCGCGTTGAGTATGAGGGCCGAGAAGCTTAAGATAAGTTGTGATTCTAGGCTCGTGGTGGGGCAAGTTACGGGGGCGTTTGAGGCCAACGAGGACAGGATGAGGACGTACTGTGACATGGTGCTACAACTCTTGGGACAACTAATCCACCACTAGGTCCTGCAGGTACCCAGAGAACAGAACGCGGACGCGGACATGCTCTCCAAACTCGGACAAGGGACTCCCGAACATATCTCCAAGATCGCCCGGGTGGAGGACCTCGCAAGGTCCAGCCTCGAGGCCTACCCTGACCTGCCCGTGCAAGTTCGTCCCGCCTGTTGGCTGGACCACCTTAAGGTGTACAAGGAGTCGGGCGTCCTTCCCCCCCCCCCCCCCCCCCCCGACGAAGCAGACGCCAGGCTCGTGCAGAGGAGGGCCCCAACCTACCTACTCATCGGGGACACACTCTACAAGCGGTCCTACAACGGCACCTTACTGCGCTGCTTGTTCCCCGAGGAAGCAGGGCTGGTCATGGAGGAAATTCACGAAGGTACCTGCTTAGCCCACCAAGGGGCCTACACCATGATCCGGAGAGCCATCTTACAGGGTTACTTTTGGCTCAGGACGGCCAAGGAGTGCGCGAACTATGCAAGGAGTTGCCCAACCTGTCAACAATTCCAGGTTGGCTCGGGTCGTCCAGCCACTAACTACACCCCGATCAGTTCGGTCATCCCGTTCTCTCGGTGGGAGGTCGACGCGGTCGGGGCCCTCCCGATGGGATCGGGCAAGAGGAAGTACCTGATAGTAGCAGTGGACTACTTCACTAAGTGGGTAGAAGTCGAACCCCTAGCCAGCATCACAAGCGCCTAGTGCAAGCAGTTCATCTACAAGAACATCTTGTGTCTCTTTGGGGTCCCAATGCAGATCATCACGGACAACGAGCGCCAGTTTGAAAGCAAGGAATTCAGTGAGTTTTGTGCCCAATGGCACATAACGCACACCCGTGTGGCTGTCTCCTACCCCCAGGCCAACGGCCAAGTTGAAAATGTCAACCGCACTATCGTGGACGGCTTCCAAAAGAATCTAGAATCAGCCAAGGGCGCGTGGGTGGAGGAGTTGAATGTCGTCCTGTGGACCTACCGCACCACCCCGAGGAGGGCACCGGGGAGACCCCATTCTCATTATCCTATAGCTTTGAAGCTCGGGCCCCTGCTGAGGTAGCCATACCTCCCTATTGGGCTCAGGTCTACGACCCCGACATGAACGAGGACAACAACAGGACCGAGCTCCACCTTATTGACGAGAAGAGGGAGGTCGCGGCCACCCACGCCGAAAATTACCAGCGCCAGGCCAAAGCCTACCATGACAAGCGAGTCCGACCCCGTTACTTCCAGGTCGGCTACTACGTTCTGAGGAGGCGCAAAGCAAGTCAGCCCCTTGAGGGGAGCAAGTTCGCCAAGAGATGGGAAGGCCCGTACATAGTCACAACCGTGGTCCGTCCCGGCAGCTACAAACTCAAGACTCCGAAAGGTAAGACGATAGATAAGGTGTGGAACACTGAGCACCTGCTCAAGTACTTTCAGTGATAGTTTCCATTTTTTTTTGTATGGTGATCCGCCCCCATTCCGATTTTAATAAAATGCAATAACACTTCGCCAAGGACTCATCTCAGTCTTCGGGGCGGGGTGGCTGCGCCCGTACAACCCCTCCGACTACCCCTAAGGGGATACAAGGCCCGGCCTCGCGTACCAACCCCGACGGAAGAATCTAACAGCCCAAGTCCGGTGACTTGGGGCCGATGGACTGCCCTAAGGCGGTACGAGGCCCGACCTCGCGTACCAACTCTGACGGAAGAGCTTCGCGGCCCAAGTCCGGTGACTTGGGGCCGACGGCTGCCCTAAGGAGGCACGAGGCCCGACCTCGCGTACCAACTCCGACGGAAGAGCTTAGCGGTCCAAGTCCGATGACTTGGGGCCAACGGCTGCCCTAAGGAGGCACGAGGCCTAGCCTCGCTAGCCCGACGGGAAGTGTCCGAGCTGGAGGGGCACCCTCCGACCTGTGGACATATCAAAAATAAAAAATAAAAAAAAAAATAAAACAAGCATGGAAAAGATATTTGAAGCAAGGCAAGTTATAAAACAACGGTTCCATACATAAAGTCTAGAAATCCGGAATACATGGCAAAAATATAAAGCTAAGGGCCTATATCTACGACTCTCTAGGGGGCGCCCTCATGGCGAGCCGCTGCTGAGTGTTCCCCCTCCAAGGCCTCAGAGGCAACCCCGTCACGGGAAGAACCGACCACCAAGGAGGATGTCTGTGTGTGAGAGGGGTCCAGGTTGACGTCGATCTCTGCCCGCGCCTCCTCCGGAGGGTCTGGGCCTCGCTCCTCGGCCTCTGGGTCTGCCAACTCAGCTGGTAGGCCCCACATCTCGGGCGCAAAGCTCTCATCTCGCTGATGGCCAGCCCGCCGGTAGGAGCGGGAGGAGGAGGCGCGGAAGTAACCACGGCGCCGGTAGGAACGGAACCACGAGTCCCAGCTCGCGTGTCGGAAGGCGACGCCTTGGGGGCACGGCCGGTGCCCTCGGGGGCGACTCTCTGTCTCTTGGACGCAGGAGCTCGAGCGGCGGCAGCACGGCGTATCAGTTCCCCGCAAGAGACCATCGTGGAGGACCCACCTATAAGCAGAACGCGTTTATCAAACGCAGCAATCTTGAAGACATATGTATAAAGGAAAACAAGAGACATATGGACATATATATAAAGACGACAAAGAGGGGACAAGAGCAACCTCCTGGCACGGTGGGGCGGGGCTCGACGTCAACCTCAGCCTCGGGCAGGACAACCTTGACCTCGCACGGGGCGACTTCAATCTCGGACTCGGTGGCGGAGAAGACGGACTCGTAGTCCTCCGGCCTCTTGACCAAGGCCTCGCCCAAGGGGACCCCGGAGTGCCCCTCGGCCTCGACCTCGTCTGAGGAGGCCTCGACACGCCCCGAGGTGGCGGCCTCGGATCTGGCTTGGCCCCGGGAGGGAGGCAACGCCCGGAACGGCGAGGCCCCACCTACGAAGCCCAAGGCGGCCAACCTCTCCGGGGTCATCAAGGCCTCCATCCTAAGCTCCTCCTTGTCTCCTAAGAATTTTTTAGCGCTAGCAACTAAGGAAGGGGTGCCCGGGGGAGTGGAGTATTTAAGGAAATGGGTATTCCACGCCGGGGCGTTGAAAGAGAGCTCGGGGCCTACGGAGAGGTACACAAACTTAGATTTCCATTCAATGGTTTTTGGGTCTTTGAAGATTTTCATACCGGCTTGGGCCGAGAGAAGGCCATGAACCCCTTGCTCTAAATTCCCGAGGAGTTGCCGGCTTGGAAGATATAGTGGAAAAGATCGAGGGAGGGCGTGACCCCGACGTCCTCGCAACGGAGGAGGAAGGCTATCGGTATGGAGTGGGAGTGGGGGACTAGTTGCCCCGGGGGGACCCCATGGAGGTTCAACAACTCGACCACGAAGGTGTGGAGAGGAAACCGTATGCCTGAGGCAAGAGAGAGAACGTGGACACCGAAGAACCGGCCCTCTGGGGGCTCGGTGACATTCTCGTGTGGGGGGGGGGGGGTGCACGGACGTCCACGTCGGGCCCCACGTACAACCGCACGAGATCCAAGTCCTCCCCGGTGATGTAAGGACGCACGGAACGGGGAATAGTGGGGTCGAGTTCGGAACGAGTTAACTTACGAGTGGAGGTGTTGATGGCCCCTGGCACGGCTTGAAGATGGCGGGCTTCTACTGGGGTGTCAAGAGGGAGGCCGGTGCGGGCCTCGGCTGCCATAGGGGGGCCCCAGGAGGTCGGCCTCGTCGATTTCCATGGAGAGATCGGCATCGCCTAGGGACTCGAAGAGGGCGTCAAAATCGATGGCGTCGAAGTCGGTGGACATGCAAGGAGGAAACCGTGGTCGGATGGAGGGAATGTGGGGAAGCCAGAGAGCCGCGGGGTGGTCGCCGGCGTGTCACGGAGATCGGCGGGGAGTGAGGGAGAGAGTAGGCCGACGGGTGGAGAGGGGAGAGAGTGTGGATGAAGTGTGGGTGGAGTGTAGAAAATGGGAGAGGGAGAAGGTTTAAGTAAGGAAAATTGGGGGGGGGGGGGGGGGGGGGGGGGAGATTGGATTAGATTTTGGGTAGTTGGGGAGTTTGAATTTTGAAAAGGGGATAAGAAGATAAAAAGTCAAGCTTGGGGAATGGGAAAGTTGATGGGAGTTGATGGGTGTGACATGTGGGATTCCCAAGGCATTTATGGAGGGTGGGGGGGGGGGGGAATCCGAGACTTATGAGTGTCCTGTGAAGAAGAAGTCCCGATCGCAATGGAAGCACACCGAGGTACCCGGGAGCGGGGCGGGCGACACCCCGTGGGCTTGGGGTCGACCTTCGACTCGGGCTACTCTCCTTCGTTGGCTACGACTCGCAATTCGGAGAGTGGGGGACTGATGATGGGTATATTAGGCATGGGCTCGGGGCGAACCGACCCCGGTGGGCCGGTGCGAAGGGCCTAGGGCAGCCCCGGCTGGGACCGACCAAGGCCTCGGCCTACGGGCCAACCGTGGCCCGGTTAGGGGCGGCCTCTGTCAGGGCCTACGTCGGCCCAGGAGCATGAGACGGCCCCGGGTGCCCGCGTGGACCCGATCCAGGCGCGATCCAACTGCCCTGCAAGAATAGGGGGGTTGATTGGGAGGTTAGCTAGTATAAAAAGACTGATTATTGTCTGGGTTAGGACATCTACTTCTTGGTACTATTATTACATTTCACCTTGTAACCCTTCTATAAACATTATCAATACAAAGTTGTCATCGTGACACACATTCAACGCCTTTTCCTATCCCTTATTTATAGGGTTTAGTAATTCGGGTCTACCCCAGGTTAATTAAATCCATCATTTATATTACCAAGCAATTATAACCTTGGTTATCTTATATAACCGGAACCAAACGCTCCCTTAGTATATTAAAAATATACTTTTTATTTATGGTCCATACAATTGTGTGAACCATGGTCCATGCAATAATGATTGGGCGAAAACAGGCCCGGCCCTCGGTAAGGGCGAGTTGGGCCCTTGCCAAGGGCCCACACTTGAAAGGGCCCCACCACCTTAGCTTACTAGTTACTACCTTTTATATATATACTATAGAATTTTACTAAAAGTATTTAATATACATCAAAATTGAATAAAGTTAACTTAACTTAGTTGGTTGGACTTGTGGACCTCAAAGTGGAGGTTAAGGGGTTGAACCCATAGCTTCATATATATATTCATTCACTTTGATTGTTTTCTCCCAAGACGTATTTAGAGATATTATTATATTATATTATATAGTATTAAAATTATAATTATAACTTATGGAATTTAATTTTCTCTCTCAACTCTTTAGAAGATGAATTTAGGAATATTATATAGTACGTATAGAATTTATTTCTATGTCTACTTGTATTTTTTGAGTTGTAATTATGTGATTTTTTTTTCTATAATTATAGTGAGATTTATAATATAGATTGATTTGTGATTCATATCAATTTTTGAATCTATTTCTATTTGAGTAATTTACTAATATTTAGAACATGTGTTATTTTGTGAACTTTATAATGATTTATGTATATGTAATATATTTTGTGATTTAGTTATGAAATTATTTTAAAATATAGTTTATTTTTTTTTATGAATTATCAAATCAATGTAATTTATTAGAAGTTCTATTATGCGTCATTCTATTCAAAATAATCTAAAAAGACTTGAAATTGATCTAACTAAACAAAAAAAATATTTATAAATATGATAGCAATCGAGAATATGCGTGATTTATAATGTATTTTTTATTTGAACTATTTTATCCAATTAATCATGTTTCATATTTTGTTATGAATATCATTTCTCACATTTTAAAGTGTTTTGTTTTATTGCTTCAATAATTAAGATTTCATGTTCTATTCTTATTTGTAAGTTGTGTTTTATAATTTTTTATTAATAATTACTTTATTACTTATTATAATAACAATGTGATTGTCTATAAATTTATTTGGTTTTAAATTGTTTATCCGCTTTTATAAATTATGAATTCATAATTCTTTATTTATGAAGTCAGATATAATAAATAAAGAATTATGCAAAATAAAAAAAAAAACTATATTTTAATAGATAAGCAAAGTCAAAATAAAAATAAAAAAGTCAGATATGCAATTATTGAATATTTTGCAATTTGTTTAAGCCAACAAAGGAAAATTCATTTATAACTAATGAAAACATCTAGAGTTGTTTTCATTATTATTACCGTGTATGCAAAATTGTTAAAAACTTGTATATCTTATTTCAAGTTATTTGTAATTAGTATATTTTTCATGTAGTTATGCAAATATATATTAATTTCACATTTTTGTTGCCCCGGGCCTATAAAATAATAGGACCGGCCCTAAGCAAAAGAAGGACAATACGCATGCAATTTAGTTTAGTTAAGGTGATATTTTTTACATTCAACAATAAAATATAGGCTAAATTATCGTTTTGCACCCTGAACGAAAACCAATTCCTCTCACCACACTCTGACGTT